TTCACCGTTCAATGAAAGTGCTTTCGAGTAGTCACACATCTTGGAATGCATGATGTCCACGTTGTTGTAGGAAGTAGCCAAAACAGCATCAGCTAAATGTGATGTGTTTCGGATGTTTTCGAAAGCTTTTCACCGTTCAGTGAAAGTGCTTTCCAGTAGTCACTCATCATGGAATCCACAATGCCCACGTTGCTGTAAGAAGTAGTCAAACCAGGATAAGGTGAGGGAATTGTGTTGTGGATGATTTCGAAAGCCTTTTATTATTGAATGAAAGTGCTTTCAAGTAGTCACACATCGTGGAATAGACCATGTCCACGCTGTTGTAGGCAGTAGTCAAATCAGTCTCAGCTGAAGGAAGTATGTCTTTGATAATTTTACAGGGTTCTTCGTTAGATGAGAAGTCGCCCACAAAATAACCCGTGCTATAATACACTAAATTGAGATTTATGCTGAAAGTATCGGAATTAGATGCATTGTGGAAGTGCATTTTTGAATAATTTTAAAGTTTTCTTGCTAGATACAAGTAGTTTGGACTGGGTTGTGTGTCGGGATTGAAATTGCGATACTTTGGCATGATATAGACGCATCAGAATTAGTAGAAGAAGTAGAAGTTCGATAGATTTTAAGTGACTTTTGTGGATCATACGTGCATCTATGCGTTCTTCTTGATTGTTTTTAACACATTGGGGCTTCTTGTCAGTAGAACGTTTTGTTACTCTCATTCGTTGTCTGATAAAGTAGAGCTTCATAAGGTTGTTATGTTTTATTGGTTTGCTTGGTTTTAAGTGTTAATAAATTGAGTCGATACTATTCTTCTTCGTTTGGAGGAGGTTTTTGCGGGTTAGCATTTTCATATAGATGCAGAAGTTTGTGGAGATGCATAGTAAATGCTAAATTCAGATGACATGATTAATGGTATCGATAACGCGTCGTAGTCGATTGATAGTGTTGCGACAATCAGCACTGTTCGTTTAGTCAATACTCTTATCCAATCAAATCACGTGGACGTTGTGCAATATGCCAATGTTGATCCGTTCGTGCGCAGCTGTACCTTTTGAGTATTCATATGTTTGGTTAGTTTGTTTTTGCTACTATCATATTGATCAGCTGCTAATTTTGTTTTATTCATAGTTGGTATGAATATGGCATATTCGAAGTTTTGAAAACTATGCCAATGAAACTATGATCACAGTGCTTTATTTTATAGAGCATCTACCTCCTTTCTAGATTTTTCTCTCTGTCGTCATTTTTTTTTCCTTGCATTTTTTTATCGAAGAACATCGCTTTTTTTTCTTTCGCTGTAGTAGACGCTGTTAGAAAAAGCAAGAGAGACGAATATAGATGTTTGTCGTTATTAAAAAGGGCAAAAAGGAAGAAAAATGTGAAACATCGGCGTGATTGCCAATAAATGGAACAAAATGTAAAACAGAAAGAATCATTTAGTATTTTTTTCACACGTAGAAAGAAACCTTGAAGACCTTTTTATACTATGATGAGTAATGCTTACCTTGATGAATCGAAAATGGAAGTCATTTTTATTACCAAATACATTATGAATTACACAACTTGATGACATCATATTATTGCACAAGTTATGTTCTTTTTCTGGCTTCTATTTAGTGCATAGATACAGGTGCATGAAACAATTTTAAGAAAAGATTGATCGTTTTCAACTTAATTACTATATAATTTATTTTAAAGCAACCACATCAGATTGAAAAAATGTTTCAATAGATTTTGTTTTGTTCTTAGTATTGTTTTTCTTCTTATCATTCTATGACAGCGTGTGATTGATACAAAATGGATTGTAATGACAAACAAGAGTAGTCAACAGAAAAACATATTTACAACAAACTAATGAAAGAAGGACAATAAAAATATTTTAGAGATGCTGTTTCCATTAAGCAGTAGAAATTTGCAAAAACTGTTTTTTCATGCATCATTTTCCCTCCTCTTCTGATTCAGTCATCATCATGTAATCGATATCTTCATGTTGATCTTATATTCACACAAGATAGGTAAAATAAGTGAATTTTTATTGTAAAGAAGTTCGTTTATAAAATATAAAATTTTGATTAATCAGCAAATTATCTTATGAATCGATCTATGAATCAGTTTTATTGTTGAAAAAGAAACTTTGAATATTTGTCCAACATATACTTATTGTTAAAATGATATGATCTAGGCTTTATTAATGTGTGCTAGACTTTTGTTTTTTTTTTACTCATTTAACTTTAAAATGGATAAAATAATAATTGTTGATATCATGCATGATTTACCGTAGAAAGAGTAATCTATAGAGTAATATGGAATACATATGTTTTACTACTGTTCTGATAGTGTTATTCTTAGGAAAAAAAAAACAAGAGTACAACGTATGCCTGTTTACGTCGATTCTATTGTTATTCTCTTATTGAATGCATCAATAAAAGACATATCTTGTGCATGTCTCCTTTTGTATAAGCATATAAAAGTCAATGCTATGAACTATAAATTAATGAGTCAATGTTTCGATGTTCACGGTGTAAGTTTTTTGGCATACATTTGATATATACTTTTACTAAAAATATAAATTGCATAAACTTCCGAGAAGACTTTGTTAAATAATAAATCGCTTGTAAAATGAGTCTTATTTCCTTCGGTAGGTCCTATTGAAATTAGAGAAAGTCTAACAGGGTTCGTATCCTTGAAGCTATCTTCTTGAGTTATGACCATTTAATGAGTTTTTCAACAAAATGCCATTTCCTCTCTTAGATCATTTACAAAATTCACTGGGAAGTTTTAAGTTCAATTTTTTCACAAATCAAGTTCTCAGTGTGACCCAGTCCATTGTGAAAGTATGAGACTTTTTAGTATCTGTTTAGTAAATGTTTCTATATTAGAATCTGAGAATAGAAGATACTAACAAATCTGATACTCTCACAATGAAGTAGTTCCATCGAGAAGTTTATTTGTGCAAAGCTGGATCTTGAAAATTAAAAGTGGATTTTGAAAGTAATCTGAAAAAAAAACCATGGTATTTTGTTGAACAACTCACTAGAACGACCATAGTACAAGAAAAAATATTCATAGATACAAATTCTTTTAGGCTTTATCTAGTTTCAATAGGATGTGGGTGTGGGCGTTAGGGGCCGAGAAAGCCCACATCCAAATAAATTTTGATTATGTTCATAACTTTTTTTGTATCAGTATAAAAAGCACACTTTTTAAAATAGAATATGATATTGAACTATGGTATAGCATTACTTTCAAAAAGAAACTCGAGTAGTATATTGTATGAGATTGATTGCAATCTGATACATTTACAAAAGTTCCAGCTTCTAGTTAGTATTTGATTACCTGAATAAAAACATTAACAAGAAAAAGTTCTTGTCTAATTGACTTTGCATAATCCGCTTTTTTTTCTCTTTATCTAAAATGATACATCAATTAATCATTTCAATGATGAAACCTGAAGAGAATTTTATTTTGTTAAATTAAAAACTTCCAAATTTTGATTGTCGTTAATATTATATTTACTGAAAAAATCAAGTTGAAAAAAAAAATAAGAATATCTAATTAGTGTTAATATTAAAAGGTATTTTCCAATAAAGCAGAATCGATAAAATTCACTCAAAAATTAGTATATTAAATCTATTTTTTATTGAGTTGGAATAAAAGGCACACGACCAACATTATCTCGTTTTGCATTCACAATATCTGGATATTTATGTGTAAGTTCTTCAGTACCAAATACAATTCGATCAATAGCTTCAACACCTAACATCATTGAATGATCTTGATTTGATACTTCATATTTCCATGAACCAAATCGACCACGTGAATAGATATTATGTGATTCGAATTCTTCAAAAAGTGGTGTACAAAGTTGATCACGACCATAGAATGGTGTTGGATAACCATACTCTAATCGAATATGAAAACGTGATAGAATTTTTGTATCATTATCAATTAATTTTGTATTTTTTAAACCTTGTTCTGTAATAGCAATAATATTATCTATATCAACAGGTTTATCAGAAGATTCTGCAACTTCACACATAAGTGACCATTGTTCACCTGGTTTTGGTACATGATAAGGTGAATAATTTGAAAAAAGTGTTGCACGATAAAATGGACAATCATCTTCAGGAAAATACATCCAACATTTTGTATTTAAATGTGTTGGTGGTTGACCTTCAATACCAAAACCTAATATATGACTTGATGAATAACGAAATTGTTTAGATTTATCAAGTAATTCACTACGAGTAATTTTTGTTGTACCTTCAATTATTTGACATAAACAATTCATTGGCATTGTTGAAATAATAGCATCGTAAGATTCTGATGAACCATCATTAAATGAAATCATTTTTTGTATAACATCAATTTTAGTAACTTGTTTTGAAAATTTAAGTTTTTCTTGTGGTAATACTTCAGCTAAACGACGCCATATTGTACCTGTACCACCTTTCATTGGAAAACGAAATGTATTATTAGGTCCCCAACCAATTTCATCTTGACCAAGTATAACATTATGTATAACACGTGATATATTAACAGTTGCAACACGTTCACCCATCCATTCAACATTCATTTTATCGGGTGTATATGCCCAAACTTTAAAATTATATGGACGCATAAATACATCACATAAACCACGACCAAATGATTGGTCCAGCCAATCAGCAAATGTAACAGGTTTTGAAAATGTTGAACGACGACGTTCATTTTCAAGAAGACCTTCAATACAAGCAACAATTTCATGTTTTGGTAGACGATGAAGATTTTGTTGTAATGGATATGGAATAAATGTACCACGCATCCATACCCATGCTTCACGAATTTTAGAATTCCAATCGGTAGGATTTGGTAACAAATAATCAAGTAAACGAGTAAAATAAGCATAATGCGAAAATATAACATGACCACCCATGTCCCATAGAAAACCTTTTTCATCAACAACTGTTCTAGCGAGACCACCAGCATTGGATGATTCTTCAACGAGTATCCAATCGACATTGCTATTACCTTTAAAAAATAAAAGAAATTTAATACTTCTTTTTTTATAGAAAAATTTCCCCTTAAAAAAATGAACCTTGACGTCGAATTTCTTCAGCACGCCAAGCAGCTCCAAGTCCGCATGGTCCACCACCAATAATTACAACCTTCATTGTCTACCACTGCAGTAATACTCTAAAGAAAAAACTTTAGTCAAAAAAAATGGAGTCAAAACAGTAAGAAAAAGAAAAAAAACGTGTGGCGCAACGATGCATTACATTTTTTCTTTTACTTTCATAAAACAAGAACAAACAAAAAGCGCGCAGAATACACGTGAAACCACCTACTAGTTCAAATATAGATACCCATTCTCCGTTAGTCAGTAGTAAAAAAAAAAAAGAATAAAAACATTCTTTTTTTTTCCTTCTGCTTCTTTCGTCAGTCATCTTGTCCTTTTAATACCTAAAAAAAAATAGGTCATTTGTTAAGATTTTTTTTGTCTCCTTCATCATTCTTAATGATAAATGTATTCAATAAAACAATCACTAGTGACATTTAAAACTAAGTCATAATAATATAATAGAATAGTTTTTTTATATGACTTTTGGCGCTTGATAAATTGAGTGAGATTGTATAATTTCTTTAAAAGCAACATAATCATCGTAATCTGTAATAGCGAATGGGTCAAGATATTAGTCAAATTGATTCGAATGAAATCCAAAAAATGTTACAAAAATTCGGCAAACTTGATGAAGACAAAAGTGGTGCACTATCAGCTAAAGAATTTATGCAAATACCAGAATTAGCATCAAATCCATTAGTCGAACGTGTTATTGATATATTTGATAGTGATGGAAATGGCGAGGTCTTTTCTATAAAAATTTTATTAATATATATATATATTATAAATTTATTATATCTTCACTTTTAATAGGTTGACTTTACTGAATTTATTCGTGGTTAGTTTGCATTTAAGATCTTTTTTATTTTTGTCCATCTATTTTACACTTTAAATTAGGTATGAATAGTTTTGCTTCAAAAGGCGATACACAATATAAATTACGATTTGCTTTTAATATCTATGATATTGGTAAGAGTATAGATCTGTAGAAAATCGTACAGCATTCATTGGAACAAAAAGGATGTGGGTGTGAGTGTGAGAGAAAGGAAGATTTATACCCATACTCCAGTAAATATTTTGAACAGAATATTTTTACATAGCTTTGTAGTGAAGACTTTACTCTTTCTAACAAGAAAAATATCGACAAGTGGTTATCGCGTTATATTGAAAACGAAATTGATGCAGAAAGTTTGCACTATATGTTATGCTATCATTTTAATCGATTTCTAATAACTCTGAAAATATTTTACATAATCTCATTTTGGAAATTCAATAATCTCTCAATTTGTAGAAAGACTATTTAAAAAAATAGACTGAAATACATATCTAACTCTAACGAATTATGTTTATGAATTATTATTTTAGATAAAGATGGTTATATAACAAATGCTGAACTATTTCATGTATTAAAAATGATGGTTGGTAATAATCTATTAGATGATCAATTACAACAAGTTGTTGATAAAACAATAATTTATTCGGATAAAGATGGTGATCAACGTATATCATTTAAAGAATTTTGTGATGCTATTGGACCGAGTCTTCGTGAAGATATTATTAATCATTTAAATAAAATTACAAGTGATGATCGATAAAATAAAAAAGAATTTTTTTTTTGTAATTTATATTTTAATTTGTTTCATTTAATATATTTTGAAGTGCTTCTATATAATCAACAGCTTTACGAAGTGTACGAACTTTTGATATACGAGTAGAATTTAATTGATCTTTGTGATTATTATTTGTATTAGATGGTAAAAGTGCTTGAAGTATAAGAAATGCTTGATTAACATTTTGTACACGTCTTCGTTCACGTCTATTACGTTTTTCAACAATATGTTGAGGTCGTAAATAATGTGGAATATGTTTTGATCGACGTCTTGATTTCATCTTTGACTCTATATGAGATCTTACTGGTTCTATTGGTATTAGATAAGGATTTAAATTATAATTTATATTTGACATTTCATATTGATTTTCATCATTAGCATTAAATGATGAAAAATAAGAAGACATACAGTATGATTCATACGTCATTGAATAAGAAATAATCAGATGTAATATATTAGTCAAAAAGAAAAAGAATCAAGAATTGAATAAATAAAAAGAATCAAGAATTGAATAAATAAAAAGAAAAGAAAAAAAATGAAAGAAATTTACATGATAATATTTGTATAGAAATTCGTGCAGACATTATAACAATAAATATTCCCGGGTGTATATATGACTTCTCAGGCAAGAAGTTTATCTTTGATTTTAATGAATAAAAATAAGGAAAGATTTTTGTTTTTATATTAATATTGATGTTGATTTGAAATATTTCTTTTTCATTGATTGTTGAGCAAAATAATTATTTCATATACGTCATAGAATTATTTTAATATGGATGAATATAGATTAAATTATTAACAATCACTATGAACAATAGAAAATCACTAGAAAAGAAAATATTCATTATCAAGATTTAATCCTTTTATAGAAGGAAAATATTAAATATTGAATATATATGTTGACATTTGATTTTAACAATATAATGAAACCATTTCAGAATAATAGATTTTCATTGAATAATTTATTTGTTTAATTACAATGAAATCTTTTTATGTTTCAATGTAGAAATTGTATTAATATAGAAATTATTTATTCAATCAATCTTCTATCTCATATTCAATATAAAATTCCATTCATTTTAATATCAAAATATTTAAGTCAAAAAAATACTAGTCACTTTAATTTTATGAAACAGGATCTAAAAAAGACCAGTGTATCTTAATAATTTTTTCCTCTTAATATATCATAGAAGATGTCTAATGAAACTTTGTTGAAAGTTAACTATATCAAATATCACAATTCACAGATGGAATAGTACGACAAGTCATCAGTTCAGTGTCGATATGGATTTCAGACCACGATAGACTTCAGTCAGAGACCGTATATCAATAACGTCTCGTTATAATATGTGAACTACTTCCTTGTTATATTTCTGGAGGGTTAAATAAAAGAATTAGGAAGATATGTATTCGAAAATAGACAGCATAAAGTAGTCTCTCTTGGATAAGTAACAGCAGCTATATTGTGCTTCACATTTTAATCTCACTGGGATTGCATTAACAGACTTTTTGTATAATGATAAGTTTATATATATTGAAATTTAATTAAAGATTCTAAATCTGATATTCGCTTTAAAGTCTAAAATTCAGTTGTAACTCGAAGATTATATCCGATCTTAAATTGGACGTTCGCATATTATTTTCTAAGATTTTCAATTTGCATAAAAAGCCTTAGAAATTCAATAGTTGTTAAAGATGTTTTTTCCATTAAAAGTCTTCTGTATCCTATTATTGAAACATTGTGTAAAGAAAAATTCATTAAATCTGTATAAGAGTTTCCCTTACATACAAGTATTCATTTTTCTTCATGCAATCGGAACTCTTTTAATTCATTTTTCCTGTATAAAATGAAAAATGTCACATTTCTCTTCCTATCTTTGTACCCACTTGTTGAATTAGCAGTTTATGATGTTAAATAATTTTTTTATTAACATCTATTTTTTTATCTTTGATTCTTTTTTTAAATGACGCATTTAACTTAAGTGAGAAGAACAAAACCACTTAACGTTGTACTTTAGCATGTTGTATCAAATGCGATATATGACACAATTGATGTAATCTTTTTTTTCTTGCTATCTTCTTTTAATGCGTCATCTTCGTACGATAAAAATAGACATCAGTTTTACGAAAATGTTTGTCTCTATTTTAGTATATAAAGTGACTTGTGTTTTTTTTTTTGGATATTCCAATAAAGATAATTGCTTGTTTTGCTTTTTTTGTTACATATTTACTCGATCATTTCAATGTTCAAAGAAACCAAAGTAGAGGGAACTATAATAAATCTGATGGTACGTACAGCAACCTAATAAAGTTTTGCTTTATATACTTTTACGTTGATGCATTTTTATTTTATTTTATCTACTGGGAATTTGTTTTAGATATATGTATGCGTCCATCATATATATTTATGCATATGGAACGCGGGAGCCTGTTTTTTTTCTTTTTCTCTTTCTCCTAGTCATTTTGTATGAAATAGCTTGTTAGACATGCATTCATTTTATTCATCTGTTCGTTGTTTCGAGGTCACGGCCACAAAAAAAGATAATATTTATGAGAGATTGTCTATTTGCAATTTATATATTTTGTTTCCACATGCGTTCATTGATTTAGTAATTCTAAATTTTTTCCATAAGGGAAGAAAAAGGAATATTCATGAAAATTCTTTTTTTCTTTTTGAGTATAGAAAGGGTATAAGTTATTCATTGTAATGACATCAACTATGAGTAAAGAAACTGACATCAACAATATTATTTTCTCTGCTGACTTTTTTCTTCTCGTTCTTCCATACCTTATTTCACTCACATAGACATGCGTTTTGACTATACTTTAGCGTGTAGTTTTTCTTTTTCTTTTGATGTTATTTTCGTAAGGAAGGAAGCTTAAAATATCACTTTTGTTTTTTCTTTTGTCTTTTTTTTTTGAACATACTAAAACATTATTTCAGAGTGTAAATTTAAATAATAATATTAAAGAATGGCAACAGCATCATCATTTAAAGACGAAACGCATCCATTCGCAGCAGAAAGTAAGTTGTCTTTTTTTAAATTCATCAGATTTTTAAGAAAAGAAGTTTTATCTTAAATAGGAAGTGCTCATCCAACGGCTACAACATCTGTTCGAATAGCAAATCCTGGATGTAATTGAATAATATAATTTTTATTTTAAGTTGACTTTTATATTGTTTCTTGTCCTAGCAGATGATCATCGTCAATCACCTAATGAAGGTATTGGTGCTTGTGGATGGGCATTAGTTATTCTATCTTATGTATTGGTTGTTATTACATTTCCATTCTCATTATGTCTTTGCATTAAGGTTTATTTTCAATGAATATAGTTGATGTTGATTTTCGATATAAGTTTTTCTTTTTTTAATTTTATTTAGGTTGTTCAAGAATATGAACGAGCTGTTATTCTTCGTCTCGGTCGTATTTTACCAGGTATGATTAGAAAGAGATAAAAGTTAATAGAATTGTAAAAACAATAGAACGGAAATCATTTTCTCTATAATTTTCATGTTGAGTTCATTTGGAATCATTTGTTAAATGAATAAAGATGAACATAATAGTATGTGAGAATAAAAATAAAATCCTTGACACATTTGTTTGTTGTGTTTTTAGACGCTTTTGTTATTAGAAAGCACGCAAGAAATGCATTAGAATGACTAAGCAGTTAATTATCTATGTAAACAATAAGAATTTTAGTTGAATGATTTTCATTTTTAGAACTAATAAATTTATTTTAATTTGTATTAGAAATTCTATGAATTATCTTATTTCAAAAATTCGGCTAGAATGTATAAAGAGAGATTCGTAAACGGATATACTTATGAATATTTTTATTTTCAACATTATATTAAAACAAATGATAATTATCTATAAATTTATTTTGTAAACAATTGGAAAATTAACGCTAATTTAATCTCTGAAAGCATCATTTCGATAATAAAATATTCATAGAATTTATTCAATAGGAAATACCAACGGAGTTAATTACATAACAACTGAACAATATATAAAATAACTTCTATACATTAGCGTCCTGCGAGACAAACACCATTTGCTACTATCCCACATGACTCGACTATGCACTAGTCACAAGAAGTTCTGCTAACCTAATATTTTGAATATAAATAGAGCACGGTAAACCATGATTGCAAGCAGCAATCCGAGGTCGATAGGTCTTAATGCAAAGGACTTATGATAAAAACACTGGTTTTTTCCCTAGGGTTCACAAAAAAAAAAGACTTTTCTGTTTCGCCACTATTTAAATGTGTTAACCTATAAAGAAAGATTACTCCAATCCGCTGTAATCTTGTGACGTAGGGAAACCTCCAATGTCTGGGCTGGTCTTAACATGAGCCTCTTCTCGATTGATGATTGTGATCGTGAAATTTTCAAGACAAATGATTAACACTAGCCAAAGATATGGATCATGTTTTGACGATTTCCATCAACTCTTATGTGGAGATTACTTCATAAATCAGGCATACTAAAACTATTTGACTAGAGTTTAGCATGCTCTATTTTGTGGTCAAACTATAAGACTAAATGATTGAAGTTTAAGCACTTGCTATTGAATTAAAATTTATTTTCGTATATATATATATAGAAAATTCCAATTATGTGTTCCTTGTTTTCTAGGTGGTGCTAAAGGTCCCGGTTTATTTTTTATCTTACCTTGTGTCGATACAATCATAAAAGTTGATTTACGAACGGCAACATTTAATGTTCCACCACAGGAAGTAAGTTATTTTTTTGTATTATATTTTTTTTGTCAATCAATATATTCGATTATTATTTATTAGGTGTTAACACGTGATTCAGTAACAGTTTCAGTTGATGCTGTTGTTTACAGTCGTGTTTTTAATCCAGTAAATTTAATATACAAAAGAAAAAGTAAAAATTTAAGTAATAAAAATTTCTTTCTAGATTATTAGTGTAACAAATGTTAAAAATACACAATATGCAACACAATTACTTGCTCAAACATCATTACGAAATATTCTTGGTACCAAAACACTTCAAGAAATTTTAAGTGATCGTGAAACAATTGCAAATAGTATGCAAGTTCATCTTGATGAAGGAACTGATCCATGGGGTGTTAAAGTTGAACGTGTTGAAATGTAATTATATTTATTGAAATATTTTATATTAAAATTTTTCATCTTTTTTTTTCGTTTTATGTTTACAGTAAAGATGTTCGTTTACCTCAATCAATGCAACGATCAATGGCTGCAGAAGCTGAAGCAAGCCGTGAAGCTCGTGCTAAAGTTATAGCTGCTGAAGGTGAACAAAAAGCATCAAGACAATTAAAAGAAGCAGCCGATGTTATTGCTGAATCACCTATTGCTTTACAATTACGTTATTTACAAACTTTAACACAAATTTCAGCTGAGAAAAATTCAACAATCATTTTTCCTATTCCTAGTTAGTTATATTTGTTATTCATTTAATTTAATTTAATTGTTTTTTTTTAATTTTTAGTTGAATTACTCAATTTAGTTAAACCTAGAGTGTAAACAAAATTTTAATCAATAACAAATCAAAGAAAAGGACTTCATATATATCGTTTGAATTTTTGCTCGATATAATTTTTTTTGTTTATTTCATATTATCAGATTGATCATTTTCATTTATTACACTTCAATAAAATATACTCTACCATGGTTGATAATTGAATCACTATTGTTTTGATTGATGATAGTGTAACATTGATAGTTAACAAAGTACAAGATATTCTACAATTTCGTAGAGCTATTGAACAAATTGTACCTTGTATGATTTTATACCACTACAATTCGATAGATTGTTTGTCGCACTATTGAGCAAACTTGTGCAATAGATCGAACATTTGATTCTTGTTCGTTGTCGAAAGTAAGACATTTTCTTCAGTAAACACTCTACGTCTTCCTCAACCTGATCGATTTTCGATAGTTCTAGTTTCACAATGTGATTCGAATTTCGTCATGAATGAAACTATGCTAATTTTGACTTCCGATAAATAAATACATTTCATTTAAAATATATCGAATAAATTTTTAATGAAGTTACAATCAAACTAATATTGACATACAATTTTTTTGAACTGTTGAATAACTAATCATGTTTCTTTTTTCGACCAGACCTTTAGAACTCTCTGTATTTTGATGATGGATTTTTAAAGAATGAATATATTCACAATGTGAGATAACAAGAATAGTATACGTTAAGTTGTGTTTGCACTTAACTAATCAGTTGTTATAATGACGTAGTTCGCTTATTGTACCACGCACTATGTCTGAGTCAGATATTATGTACTTTACAGCCAAACGCAGGACTAATGAATAATTTATTGGGAAAAAAAGAATTTGCACCAAAAGGAGAGAAAAAGAAATCTATCATGATCTTCTTCTTTAGGCCAAGATAAATATCAGAAAATGTCCTTAAGTAATAAAAAGGAAAAGAAACATGAGTGAATGTATTGACGAGAGAAGAAATTGAAGAATAGATAGAAAAGAAAAGGCGACGTCAAATAGCTATGTGTGTATACAATTGAGAAACAATCTTCAATTGTTTATTATATAACAGTATGTGCTCCGAAAAATAGATGTGTATCCTTTCGGAAAAGAATATCTCGACAAAACACTGATTAGCTCGTTATAGATAAAGAGCGAATTGAAGTTCCTTTGTCTTTTTTTTCTTGGCAAATGGTACACTATTTCACTTGAATCTATTTCAAATTGAAGAACACATAAAATTATATGCAAAATATTAGTTATTAAAAACTTATTGATCATTTACGTCGATGAAAAAAATAGCACGCGGAAAAAGTGTCATGTGATAACGGATTTTCTCGATTTCCGATTCTGTTAAAAAAAACTTTTTTGTTCACGTTTCCAGAAGCGGAGATGAATAGATCGGCGATGATGACTGAAATTTATGTTATTGTTTTATACTGGTAAAAAAAGTAGACAAAAAAAAACCATTTCTGATTGGTAATCTTTGTCATTGACAATTTTTAAAAGTCTACAGTGTATTGCGTTCCATTAGCGGTGATTCAGATGATCGGCGTGCACTTCTAGCCGAAAGACTTTCGGAATTCCAATTTTTGTGTCATTTTTTTTAATGTTTGAAATAAAGTATCAATACCATATACCAATAGCTTCTGGTGATGTTACGGTTTACGTCATGTAATAGGATTTGAGATTAAAATAAAATCATGATTAGAAGTATAGTTAGTTAATTAATTATGTAAAAATAAGATGAAAAAAATTCGAGAATGTTGCTTCTGTAAGATACTCGAGAAGGATCTGAATTTTGTTATAGATATAAACTTGATAGTATTCATTAATAGTTTTACTAAACAAGATAAAATCTGAAGAATAACTTTCTTAAAAAATTTTCATTTTGAAAAACGAAGTTTTTCAGCAGTAATTCAAAGACTTCCATAAAAATTTAGATCTATCAAGAAGCTAGACCTTATATATCGATCTTGTTCGTAATAAAGTTAAATCAAAATATAATAAATACTTTCTTCTTTAACAGATAGCAAATAGATTATTCCAATATTGTACAAAAAAAAAAGGAATCAATAGCAAATAATTCATTCATACATCATTATTTTAAGCTTATTATTATTCTATTTTTCATACTACTCACAATAAAAATCAATTTAAATGCTATATACAACATACAAAATGAATCTTTTCAAAAAAAAATTTTTATTCTCTGAAAATAATTTTAAAAAATAAATAATTAATAAACTTTTTGAATAAATGATTTACAAATAAACAGTAGGCTCGATTACCAAATAATTCAATTCCATAGTTGCAATGAAAAAATTTTGAGTTGATCAAATATTCTTATCATTAAAAGAACATGCAGTTAATTTGACTGAATTAAATTTTGTATCAACAATTTCGATCTAATATGAGATCAACAGATACCAAGATTTGTTCAAATTTGCTTAATAAAGCTAAAATTTCTAATTTTTGATATATATTGTTTTTTTTTTTTATCTCATTTGATCAAATATATTAATTACGTTAGATATAACAAGAGAAATTACTGTAGTTACATCTGTCTTGAAATCAATGCTATTTACTATTATAACTATATTATCATTGATTCATCTAACGTTGAATATACTGAATATTCTAGTGTTTTGATTCGTAAACTTCACTTTTCGTTTTTTCTATTTCATAAACAAAAGTTTAATTAATGGGTTTCTATAGAAAAAAAATAACGTTATTCGGACCAATAAACGCTTTCTGTCAAGGCTAAGTTCAGAGAGATAAAAATAATTTAACATGAAGTTTTTCTTTTCTCATTATTATCTACTACACGAGAAAAATGTGTTATAATGTAACTAAAGTAAAAGAGTTTTTCTATTTACTCTTAAATAAACATCCATAGATTTTTAATGACGTCAATCTTTTATTTCTGTTTTACATAGACATTATAGTATAGAGATAGATTTTAATGAAACTTTTTATTGACTTTTGACAATGGAAAAAATCTAGGTTACTTCCTATATATATATATATATTAAGAATAAAGTGTTCCCGAAATGAATTAAAGACAAGATTGTCGGAACTCTTTTTCTTTTTCTATTTTATTACTTGACATGTTGAATTAAAATTTTATCAGTACTTTTTCTACTAATAATTAACACATTTTTCTCTGAAATAAAACACACAAAAAGCAAAAAAAACAAATTAATAGTCGCATAGTTCTTGATTTGTTAAAATGACAAGTTCCATCTTACATCAGTACATGTTAGCAACAAAATACAAATAAAGAATTCTTTATTAATTTATTCTTTTTTTTTTTCTATTTGTATTCGATTACTATGTCGAACAGATTTCGATAGATGTGTCGACGTCATTATTACTGTATATTTATTTATGTCAATCGAGAAAAAAGACAATTCTCATAGAAACCAAATATTAAAATTCTATATATAAAAGAAAAAAGAAATCTTTTTTTTTTTTTTTTCTACACAACACAGTTCAAATAATAACATGGCAACAACAACATCATTCAAACATGAAATTCAAGCAATAAATAACGGAAGTTAGTATGATGATAATATCATATTTAAAAAACAAAACAGCAGGATTAATCTACATTATTTTAAGATCGTATTCATCCAATAGACATGACAATGGCATCTAATCAAGCAACAAATATTCAGAGTATGTTATAGAAATATAACAATTTAATATTGAATAGTTTAATATATTTATATTTAGCTAATGATGATTCTCAACAATCAAATGAAAGTGATTTTGATGCATGTGGATGGTTATTAATTATTTTTTCATATATTCTTGTTGCTCTTACATTTCCAATTACATTATTCTTTTGCATTAATGTTCGTGAAAATTATTTATTTAGATAAAGTTAAAATAATTCTTTGTCTTTTTTTTTTTTTGATAGGTTGTTCAAGAATATCAACGTGCTGTTATTTTTCGTCTTGGACGTATTTTACCAGGTTTCTTTTTATCGAAAAAAAAATATTTTTTTTTTTTTTTGCATTGATTATAATCATTAATTGTTATTTTAGGTGGTGCTAAAGGTCCTGGTCTATTTTTTATTTTACCTTGTGTGGATACAATTTCCAAAGTTGATTTACGAACAGCAACGTTCAATGTTCCACCTCAAGAAGTAAGTTTCTTTATCTATAGTATATACATACAATACTGAAAAAAAAATTTTTTTTTTTGAATAATTTGTATCAATGATACAGCCAGAGTCTACACTATATCTATAGAGAATTTTACTACCAAAATGTTGAATGACAATGGAATTGGAATAGAAAATTTTTATCTTAGTTATTTCAGAGTTGTTTTTAAAAAAAAACTGAACCCATATAAATGAAAAGAGGACAATACGAACTATATTTTAGTAACTAAAACTTGTTTAAAGTTTTCAAAAAGATGTTTTTGACTTTTTCAAAGGTTATTTTCTTAAAGATTTGCAGTGTCTGACATTGTTTCGAATGTGATATTGGGAAAGAATTAAATGAAAATTGTCTATTGTTTGTCGTAAAACAGGCATATTACATTATAGAGAATTTGCGTTTGAGAAATTTTAATTACGAACATGTAGTTCGTGTTCTCCTCTTTTCATTTATATGAGTTCTGTTATTTTAAGAACAAATCTGAAAATAAAATAACTAAGGTTATTTAGTATAGACACTGACTGTATCATTGATGCAAACTATCTATCAAAAATTATCTTTCTACGAGAGTTATATTAAAAAACAAAATTGTCCGAAAAATTTTTTTTACTTAGCGGTGTATTTCATTTTTTTTTTTATTATTTGATTAGATTTTAACACGTGATTCAGTGACAGTTTCAGTTGATGCTGTTATTTATAGTCGTATTGTTGATCCGGTAGAGATTTTTTTTTCTTTCGATAGATTTAAATAGAAGATAATATTTGAAATTAGGTTGCTTCGGTAACTAAAGTAAGTAATGTTTCGTCTGCAACTCAATTACTAGCTCAAACATCATTACGAAATATTCTTGGTACCAAAACACTTCAAGAAATTCTAAGTGATCGTGAAACAATTGCAAAGAGTATGCAATTTCATCTTGATGAAGGAACTGATCCATGGGGTATTAAAGTTGAACGTGTTGAAATGTATATTTGAAAATATATTAATTGAATATTTTTTTTCTATAATTGTGTTTTTCTTTTGTCTTTCTAGTACGGATGTCCGTTTACCTCAATCAATGCAACGATCAATGGCTGCAGAAGCTGAAGCAAGTCGTGAAGCTCGTGCTAAAGTTATAGCTGCTGAAGGTGAACAAAAAGCATCAAGACAATTAAAAGAAGCAGCCGATGTTATTGCTGAATCACCTATTGCTTTACAATTACGTTATTTACAAACTTTAACACAAATTTCAGCTGAGAAAAATTCAACAATCGTTTTTCCAATTCCGGGTAAGTTTCTTTAAAAATGCTTAAATACTGTGATTATTTTTAATGTAAATTTTCTTTATTTTAGTCGAATTCCTTAGTTTTATCAAACACGGACGTTAAATTATTGACAATGAAATCTTTTAAAGAATATTCAATTCATGAAATAATAACACAGTTTTTATCTTTATTATACATTTCAATTTCAATATATCATTCTATCAGTATTGTTGTGCAAGATTGTTGTTTTAATGTACACATGAGAAGAAGACGGATAGAATGATTGTAGATAGAGACCTTTTAGATCTATTATAAGTAAAAATTCCATTGATTTTTCTCTAGTTTGAGCTGAACTATTCAGAAAATAATGGCTATTATGGAATTTAAAAAAATGGAATTCTTTCTTTAGCACAGCTAAGAGTTTAACATTTTACTACGAAATGAAGCGATATGCAAATAAGCTTTCTATATAAAAGTTGTTCAATTTATAACAAGTCTTTCCAATATGAAGTCATTTCTCTCGAAGTATAACTGCATCAAATAACAAACTGAAAATAGTATTCGTTACAGAGTTTCATCCTTTTCCCAAAAGTCGCAATTCAGATCAAGATGAATGCAAAAAAAATCAAAAACAACCAGATATTCATCATTAGCATTGAACTCTGCATGTAATGATGTATTTTTCACTAGAATTCAAAAAAAATTTTTCGACTCGAGAAAAATAAAAATTGAAATTTTGATTAACTAAATATTCCATTTTATTCAGAATTCGATACTAATTTATGAATAAAAACGATACAAAACACTTAATACTCTAAAAACATCACAAAATTCATATACTAATGAAATTATGTAATGTATTATTTCTAGAAAACGAATGTGAATATTAAATCACATTCGATCAAAATGGATACATTCAGTGGAGTAAAGATGGAACCGATAGCACTTACCGACCGCTTCGGTCTGGCTTATTCAGATAGACTTTATTATGAAATTTCATCATAAATAGAGATTGTTTTTAAATGCATTATCGTGGTTCGTAGGCGTCTAGCATTTGCACGAAGGGTCATATGTTTAAAGAGTACTTCCGTAGATAAACTTATATTTGGTTGCAAATGTCGAAAGAGTAAAAAGATCAACAGTAAAAATGTCGAAAATACAAAATATGAATGCCAGTTAATGTAGATGAATATGAATATCGGTGTATTCTTCATCTAAAGCTACATTGATATCCACATCGAAGTAGAAAAACAGCAATAGAAAGTTGAATAAACACGTGTAACTAATATAATGATTATTTCATTACTGCATCTGATCTTCTCAATGATGTCTCTTTAATTGTAGCGAAAAATAAGTTATAGTTGCACAATAAGAATATTGTTTAAGATCCAGAAGCTAATATTTCAAAGTATTTTTGCTTGTTTTTCATTGTTCCTTTTTTCAATAAGAAATATTTGATTTGAATTTAGCTGCTTCGCTTTTTTTAAAATTTTCCGAAGGAGAAAATATTTCGAAGTCTACATCTTAGTTTTCAAAATTTTTCCTTTCGACCAAAGTTTAGATAACCGATTTCGTGTCCGAGAGGTATTCATTCTAAGAAAGCTTTCGCATGTCTAGAGCACTCAATGCTACTCAGGAATACAAACGCTTCCATTTCAAATACTATTGGTCGTTCTCTTTTCAATGATAGACACAACTTTCTTCATTTTTAAGTTCGAATCCTCTCTATATATGGGTAATCGATGATTGGCCATGCTATTATGACATCTGGAGAAAGACAATTCTTAAGGATTCAAACAATCATTAGACTTCTTGTTCAATAATATTTAAGAAAAGTATACTCATTGGCAATTGATTGAAACCTATTAAATGATTATAAATTTTTTTTTTCTATTCGAATACTAAAGTATAATCAATAAAATATTTTCTTTTATAATTATTTTATTTTCTATATTTACAAATATTTTTGTAAAAATATATCAGTCTATCAAGATCAAATCAAACAACTGTTTTCTTTTTTTTCTTTAATCCCATCATTGGAATATGTATATATATATATATATATTATTCCAAAATGAATCCACCGGTCATAATGATAGTCTCATCCTTGATTCAAATTATTTCATGTCAGGTGAATTTGATAAAAGTGAATATTCACTTGTCATTTTACCACAACTTGATGTATTATTTATTATACTTGGTAATATCGTTTGTGGTGATTCATATGAAACAGTACTAATTAATGTTGGACATAAACTTTCAACACTTAACGTTGAATGACGTGTTTGATTTGATTGTTGAAATGATGAATTATTTTTTGTTGTTGTGAGATTTTCACATGAAGCTGTTAGATTACGTTTAATATATGCAGCCATGAATGCTCGTTGTTGTTCTTTTGTTAAAGACAAACATTTAAATGTCATTTTATTAATCTATCAAAAGACAAAATAAAAGTTGTTTTGTTTTGTTTTTTTTAGAATTCTTATCTAAATAAATACTTACGTTATTTAAATGATCTTTATTATTTATATTTATTTGATTATGATAAAAAAGTTGTTCATATAAAAATGGTCCAATAAATGAATAAACAAAAAATAATGTTCCATAAGCAAGTATATAATTATTATTCATATAAAATGTATATGATAATTTTAATGGAATAAATAAATAAAAACAAATCCATATTATTGTAACACATAAAGCAAAAACACTTGTTAATAAATAAATAAAATTATTTTGTTTATTATTTAAATGATATCGTATACTTGATTGAAATGAATAAAGAAATAATAGAAAAAAATTAAATGATAATGAACAAAGAAATAATGGTCGACGACATTCATTTATACATTTTTCAATATTTTCTTGATAATTAGAATTATAATAAAACCAAACAAGTAGAATAGCTGTTTGAATTAAAATAGCAAGAAAAAAAATTAAAAATGAACTTATTCCTATAAGAAAAGTTTTTCGAATTGGACCAGCTATTTTTAATAACCATTCATAAGCAAAATGTACATTAAAACTAAGTAAAAGACAAAATGGTAAAATTTGTAATGCTAATGTTTGAATTGAACATATTAGATTATTTGTTAATATTGATAAACGAAAAAGAAATGTTATTGGTGAAAGTAATAATAAAAAAAGTGATAATTGTGAAAAATATATATAAACATTTGATAATGATAAATAATTATTTCGTATAAAAGTAATCATATATGCAATATAAAGTATAAGACCAATAGATACGAAACCGATAAGACCATATGATGGAAAATCACTTACAAATAAAGATAACGAATTATTAATACAAGCCATTTATAGAATAAATGAAAAATAATATTGATCTAAAAAACATAATAAATTTTATATTCAATATCAATCAATAATTGCTTTTGAGTGCTTGAATATTTCATATATTCTCATCTCTCAAGTTACCGAATTTCATATATGCATGGTTAGTCAAATATATGTATATATATATATGTATACTGTCACATTATCAACCGAATCGTTATGTATAGCTATGGTGAGGTTAGCTTACTAATGACACTTGAAAATAGTTCAACTATCGGTATGTGTTCGTATTTGTTCTCTTTTTTTCTTTTTCTTTTTCTCTTTCTTGTTCGACATTTGTCTGTATGTTCGAAACGGATCTTTCTTTTTTTTTTTTTTTCTTCGTCTATCTCTTATATTACATAGTCGCCCACTGACACCGATGTTGTCACTGTCTACAGCGACAACGCAACCAGAGAATAATCATAGAAATAGAACATTTATACATTTTGATCGCTTTTGCTCTTTGGTTGACGTAACAATATCATTTTATTTTGTCTTTCTCTTTCTATTCTTATGTGTTCATTTAAAAAAAAAGAAAAAATTTCATTTGTTCTTTACTTAACAAATTATCGTTATAAAATTGAATTTATCGGTATATTAAGAATATAATTTTTTTCCTTCTTATTTTGAAACAATAAATATTATTTTTTTGTTGTCTCTTTTTTACAAAGGTCTTCACATTTATGAATCGTATTTTTTGTTTCTACTTCTTATTGTTTGTATATCATTAATCTTTTACTTTTCTCTTTTGAATTACTTCCTCATTGAAATGAATCCTTTCTATTCAATATGACGATTAAACGAAATTGAACATAAGAAATATTGAAGAAGTATATAACATGCGTATAGTAACCTTGTATGTAAAAACTAAAGTCAAATAACTGACTGTGGAGGATATAAACAAGGATGTATTTCTCATTAGATGATTGTATGTTAGCCTTTTTAACTTAGATAAGAAAAAAAAAATTTATAAAATGAAAGCTATGTTAGAAATGTGAACATTTACTTTAATGAAAAGCATCTCTTTTATTTCGTTTAACAAATAAACTTTAATTATACTTTTGACCATGAGAATATTTGTTTAATTTAAGCAAATTTTCATTTTTAAAATTAATGATCAGATAACAAACTAAATATCATGATATTGATTTATCACTATAATTTAAAAGAAAAAAATCTCATTTCTTTTCTATTATACATAAGCTTTTTCTTTTTCATAATCATTAAATATTAATAAAATACAGATTAGTAAATGATGCTAATTTTTTTTTATTTGCTCACTTCCAATTAAATAAGCCAATTCGATTTTAATACCGCATATGAATAAAATATATTTAAAAAAAAGAAAACGCAAGTTTTTAATTTATCACGTAATTTTATTTTATTACGTGAAATATAGATCAATATTCTATATAAATGGAAAGAAATTATACTTAATTCATTTCAACGACAATTCTTTGAACAAATATTAGACCAATAGTGCCATATAATCGTAAGAAAAAGCAATAATACGTAATTGATATGCCATAATACATAAAATGTCGTTCAAGTAGTCTCAAGCACATATCAACCTATAAAACAATGTATTTTTATATAGAATCGAAGAATAAATGCACTTTTTTTTTTTTTGCTTACAAAGAAATATTATTTATTTTTACAAATTATATTCAAATAAAACAAAATCAATTACTATAAATAAATCTTACATTTATATGATTGTCAGGTTATTAATATAAATTGACATGTCATGCAATAAAGTTATATTAGAAGAAAAATACTTCAAATAAATAAACTATTTATCATATTGTTTAAAAGCAAAAGCTAATTACTCAATAATTTAGATGTCAATTTAAAAAACAAAACATATTATCATTAATAAAGCATCTCTACATTCATTTAATTTAACTTTTTGTTCTGTTTGCATCTAAATAAACTATATATACATATCAACGTCATTATTAAAAAAAGTCATGAAACTGATAGGTACATTTAACACAAAAAAAAAAAAAAACTCTGAGTATCTGTATGTTTAATTACGATAAGAATAATCTTGATAGAGTATGAAGTTTTTTAACAAACAAATGTTCTTGCCTCGTTCAGATTATATGTTTGTAGTCACGTATTGATGAATTACAGTTATTAAATGATTATATACTACGAAGCATGAATAAAAACTATAATTAATGATCGTATCAAGATACCGTCTCAATCGGCCAGACACTATGACATATAATCTGACTCTTTCTTTTCATCATAAATAACATTGTGATGGTGAATGTCAAATGATCATATTACAATAATCTGATATATTTTAGTGAATTTATACAACGTCATTGAAAATGTCTGTCTTTTGATCTCATGTTCTGAGTAATAATAATTATTATCATAAATGAAAAACAAGTGTAGATTGGCAGTTTAACTATGAAAATAATACAAAAAAATATTTGTATGAAGTTTTACGTCAAAGAACGTTTGATATGGTTTTTTTTCTCATTCATCTTTGTCAAATTTATTGATTGAGAAAGACTGAACATGTCACTCAAGTTTGGTCATCAACTAAATTCACATAATAAGCGATGCACAAAATTTAAAAAAATGTTAAGATGCATTTCTTAATATTCGGACATTGAAACTAGCCGAACTTGTTTTTTAGTGTTTGAAAGTGTAAAATCCTAAAATAGATTAATATAGTTAAAACTTTTGCTTTCGATTTATCGTGATAAAATTTCAATACGAAGGTACGGTCACAATGTCTTTGCAAATTAATTTTTCCATATTTTGGATCGGTGAGTTTGCTATGTTGCAAAGTTCGACTCAAACATAAGTACAAATAGAAATTTTTAAATCTCATCACATCATCTCTTTGAACTTGATTTTTGTTTTTATGCCATTGATCTGAAAAACCCTTTTCTTGTTACATCCCTTCTACTAAAATATAAAAGCGACTATCAGCTTTTGACTACAGAACAAGATATATGTAGACTTATTCAGAAAGACTTCCTCTATTTACTAGTATATGCAGCATTGTCAGACTCTACTACGTATCGTTGACACGTCAATAGATATGACGCTACCTTGGCCATGCCCACGGTAGAGTACGACAAAGTTGATGCAATCTGTTGATATAACAACAGTACACAATAGAACGTGATAATGCGTATACTATTAGATAGAGAAAATTTTTTTGTAGTAAAAAAATCAGCGAAAAACTTTTGTCGTTCATCGAACAGTGTATTTTGTTTATACCATGTCTATCACGGACTATGTTTTCAAAGATTGCAATGCTTATTTTGAGATGAATCTTAAGAGTGCTTTTGCATAGCACAAATTCGTTAGATTAAAAAAAGTTTTTTGTTTTATGTATATACACTTCAGACTTTGCTCTTTCAGACAAGAAAAAAAAACCAATCCAAATTGATCATTGCTAAGAAATAAATATTGACATTATTCCAAAGACTTTTGTATTGTCTAATTTTTAAATATATTTATAAAAAAAAAAGACACATTTATAGTACAAAACGACTATAAAAACAAATTATTCAATAAACACGACGACTATCAAACATGTGTTTCATCTAATTTCATACGTTTATTTGTTTCTTGATCATTGTTCTAAATACGATCAATAAATATTATAAAAACAAAAATAAAATTTTATTTTCACTTACTATTGTCGTAGTGGCTGCTGGTCGTTTTAGTTTAATTGGAGCTGTATTCTTATTCGCTGTTTTTTGCATTTTTATTGTATAAATACCACGATCTGATTCATGTTTTTCACCTTGTGATTGTATATGTAATCCTTTTGCAGATAATTTTAATTTCGATTCATAAGATTTCTCTATATCCCTTTAAAATATACAAAGTTTTTATTATATTTAAACAAAATAAAAAGTCAACGATCTATGTTTGCTTTCTCTCTGTTGATTTCAATCCAGACGAAAATACTTTATCATAATCATCTGAATATGATTTTTACTTTTAATCGATTAAACAGATATGTTACTGAGATTATGTTCAATATCAGATTGAAGAATAAATTAATGCGAGACATGAGTATGAGCAATGACATTTCAATTCATACAATCATTAATTGATCAATTAAATTTGAAATCCATGATGTTATGGACGATTTTATACACAAGAACTACTTGCAATAAAAAACTGTTGATAATCTCTTCAGTCTTTATTGAATTCGTCCATTGACAATTGTATTAATTAAAATATCGTTGCTCGTTCTCACTTCATTAATAAGAATCCGAATATACGACATCAATCTACAGACAAATTCGAATTTTGTACATCAATTTATCCGTCAATCCTATGTTGAAACGCATTCAATTTCTCATTCGACATTCACCTAAGTCAATCTAAGATTGAACATAATATTAGTTTGGATGCTAACAGATATATGCCATTGGTTAGACATGAGCAAGACTAATCGTTTTTGGTTCCGGTGGGATTATCTTCCTCATATCTATTTAGAATACATGATTCATGATAATTATGACTTTTAATATAAATTTTATACGATCATAAAATGTATCGCTCTCAATGAAAAATTGTTGGTGCTGTTGGGATTACGACCGGAATCATCGTACCCATGTCTACAATCAGTATAGTGTCACTATCAGATTCAAACTATTCTCCTCTATTTTTTAACATCGAAACGAACTTTTTTTTTTTTTCTACTCACTCTAAATCAGTGGATATCAATCGTTTTTTTCCTTTAAATTGTGTTTGACTATTTGTAAGCATTGTTCCCAAACGATTTGTACGAAATTTTCGTTGAGGTAATGGTGCAATATATTTATAAAATAATTGAATTAATTCATATTTATCATTTGTTATATCAGATCCAACAAACTAATAATATAAATATTTTTCAAAAAGAAAATTAACATTTAATATTTTTCTTAGAAAAATATATTCTTTGTGATGTTTTTTATTTTTTTCGTTTACTTTTATTAAATGATTTTGTAATTGTTCAATAGTTAATATTTCTGGATGTGTTAAATCAGTATTCATCTATAAATAGTGTCATAGATAAAAGTTATTCTTTTTGTGTTCTCTCTCTCTATCCAGAATAACAAAACAAAATGCTCGAAGAGAGTCATATGAATATCAGGAAAAATAAATAAAATAAAACAATAACAAATAATAACCCACAATCAATTGAAGGAATCACATAAAGATATAAGGAAAAAAAAAGAAGATATAACATTTCAAATTAGAAAAAAAAAAACAAATCACTTTAGAATTTTCCTTTATTGTGTTATTTAGCCTAATAATAATTGATCTAATTCAATTATAACACAAACTATTATCGACCTTGTCTTTGTTCGATTAAATTGTAACGTTGAACAATATTAATATATGAATTTGTTGTTTGAATTTGTTTATATGAATCAATCATTCTATATAAGAAAACAAAAATTTAAAGTTATGGTTTGTTTTTTTTTTTTTTTTTGTTTACATAAATTCTGTTAATCTTGTTAACCATGGATGTAAACCAAGTGCACTTTTAATTGGTCCAATAATTAATGCTAAATTAATTTCTGGAATAGTTGATAATTCTATGAATTAATTAAAATAAAAATACATCCTATCAAATTATATAATTTTCTTGTTTTTTTTTTTTTTTGCTTTTTACTTGTATAACAACGATCGATTGTTTCAATTTGAATAGAATCTGGATTTAATTCATTTTGTTTGACTTGTTGACAAAGTGTTTGAGTTACTTTTGTTAATGTTTGACTACAATCAATGAGCGATAGAAAATGAATTGTTGGTAATGGAAGAGATGATTGTACTAGAATATAAATATAATTTAAACATAGGTTTGTGCTATTTTTCGAGAACTAGGTCTAATGACCGGTTTCTTTCGAATGTACTTATTCTATCAATAATGATGATCAAGCAATTCTACTTAGTATTTGTTCTGGTTGTCAAAACAGAACTGATTATCATACCAAGTTCTTTTTTAAAAGAACTGATGACCAGTTTTCGTTCGTTTCAATTACATTTGTATCAAAAATTTTGCCTTTCTTCGGCAAATATCTGAATTGACAAATGAACTATCGGAGGTGATACCTCACCTTTGAGATGAAACACCAATCGTTGTGTAGGACTTGTTAAGACTAGAAGAATTCTTTCTCATGTGCTGCCATTTTGGAGTTATGGTTGTTACACTGAATGTTTTTTACTTTCGATACGTGTGTATAAAAAAAAATCGGACAAACAAATTCTAGCCTAAAATGTTGCCCATAGTCAGCGCTTAAAGTTATTAGTATCTCCGAAAAGTTTCAGTGAATAAGAGTAATCTTTTCTCGAGATATTAAATCTATAAAAAAAACCATGCTATTCCATAAAAAGGACGAAAAAATCTAGGTTCTTTGTAGATTTGATATTTCGAGAAGAGACCACTTTTTTGGCTGAAATTTTTAGAAGATTCTAATAACCTTTAAGAGCTGCCTATCGACAAAATTTTAGGTGCAAATTCGTTTGTCCATCTTTTATAAATATTATGCTAAAGGTAAAGAGTCCAGTGTAACGGTCGTAACTCACAGAGAACACAGCGTACAGGGAGAAATCCTTCTAGTCTCAACCGACCCTTTGTAATGACTGAGATCTTCAACACGAGATGTCACCTCCGGTATTTTCCTCATGAGAAATAATACATCATTCAAAGTTTCCTATCAGAAAATGCTGCACATTCTTTTGATTTAAAAAAGCAAACTATCAATATCTTATAAGCTGTGTTCGTTGACTGATAAGAGAACATTTCTAAGTATCAAATCACTTTCGAACCGAAACTGTGTGCATCATGTAGATTCTAATAAACCATGAATATCGTAAAAAGAGTTTCGACTAATAGCTTACTGTTGCTTTAACTTACCTCTTCAGTAAGAGTACATACTTATACTTGCTCGACTCTGAACATATCTTTCTACTTTGTTATTTACCAGTTTAGTATACTTCGGTAAAATATTTTGTTCATTCAAATATTTCAGTGCTACAATTCTTACTAATAAAATAATAAGTTATGAATACTTCTAAAACATAATATTTTCTCTTATTGAAACAATATATATATACCTTTTTTATCATATTCATGAACATAATTCATAATCAAAGTTTCACGAGCTTTTATATAACCTAAAAAAAAACTTATTATTATTTACTTAGATCGTTTCTTATTTTTACCTTCATAATCATAAATAATCAAATGTTGAATATTTAATTTCCGAAAAAAGACTATTGAATTAATAAAAAATTTCCATAAATCAGTATCAGGAATACGTTCATTAATAATCAAAGCAAGTACTTCTGTTGGTTTATTAAATTGTATTTTACTCATTTGATCATTATTTATATTCCATAGATCATTTCGACTAACATCAATATTAACCGTTATAGTATAACGATTTCGACTTATAAATTGTATAATACTTCTATGAAACCATTGTGTTATATTTAAAAACCATAGAACTAATGCTATTATAAATCGATATAATATTGATATAGTTTTCATCTTAAGAAATATATCGAAGTTAATATTAGAACACAAGAAAAAGATGATGCAATCTTGTGAAATATTGTTTGTTAGTTTAGTAATATCATACAAAAAAAAAAAGAAAGTACAGACAGGAAAAAAAGAAAAGATAGATTTAACGTTTTCGTCGTCGATCATCGTATTTTTTTGATTTCGTATAGTCAGAATATTGATCATGATTAGAAGATTTTTTCTTTTTTTGTGAACGTGATTGAGAAGAATTTGACGATGACGATGACGATGATGAACGATGACGATGTTTTTTATGATGATGATGTTTTTTATTTTTATGATCATGTGATGAAGAGGATGATAATGGACTTCTATCTCTAGTAGATTTCTTTTCTTTACTTTTATTTGATTTATTATCATCATCGACATTTTTATTTGTAGATTTTGTTAAATTACTTGAAACTAAAATCAAATAATATATGTATATTATAAATGTTATTGGATGTTGTATGCTAGACTTCTGTCCATTAAATGCTTAGAAAACAAAAGTTGTTAGAGGAAGTCCTGTGAGATTACAATGTCAAACACAGTGGAACTGCTCACTTTGTTAAAGAAGGATTTCGGAATTTGACTGTGAATTAGATGTGATTTAGAAAAGATTTCTATTGACTACATTGATGACTGTAAGTTATGATATATATATGTAAATATATTCTAACAATATTAGCTTCAGCCCTCACAGGTATCCTATAATAATATTGCTTCATGATACATTGCGAAAGCCCACCCAACTTTTGCTACTGACAAATATCCTATTGGCAAAATTCCGGCCATCCAGAAATTCACCGACAGATGTTTTGCTTCGTGAATTATTATTTACTGTTAATGTATATCGATGATAATCGTTATATATTACAATTAGGACAGTTATCAAAAAGTCAACTGTATTTTATACTAATTCAGCAGTAGACTTTGATCTCACGAGTATGCCTGACATAACCCATGAGAAGGGACGATGATAAGATGTTTTTTACGTCTGTGAAGCGAATATCTGAATTTCAATTCCTATACTTCGAATAGAAGTCATGAAAAAAAAAGAATTACTCAATCTTGATTATTAGTGCATAGTAGCACTGTGAAATATACCGAAATTGAATTATACTTCTTTCCCTCTTAACAGATGGTCTAGAGCGAGTTGAAAACCTTTCTTATAATTGGTATATTAAATCATATTGAATTTCGTGCATACATTAAACTCTACCAACAAACTACTATGATCAACATCAAGTTTTATTCTCAACATTCGTGCTATTTCTTTTCACATGGTTTTACTCTCTGTCCGGATTTGCAACGAACAGAAATCTTAGTCATTTTTATTATACATCTCTTATAAGTGTCTTCAACGGAACGATTTATTTTTTCGTTTTTGTTTACAAGCGTCTACTTGATAATCTATATTCGTTGGACAGTTATCTATTGTTTGAGGAATTGTATTCAAACGTGAATCGTTGCATTTGGCAAGAAAGGAAGAGATCGTTTTGCCTTTCATGTAGACATATTTTAAACTGGTTATCAAATCATAGTTCATTTCACTCACACATCCGTTCAGATTAGAATGTTAAACATAGTAAATAAATAATAAATCATATTGAATTAAACTATTATTTCTTTTCTATTGTTATGCCAGAATTTAATCTTTTTCTAGGTTTTAAAAAGTTTTCAAAGAAATGAATCAAATTTCCGAAGATAGAAGTGTGTTTTCTTTCTTCGATCGCGTTGCCACTGGCAAAATCACTTCAAATATTTAATTGAAAAGTGCTTAAGTCATACACATGATTGAATACACGTCAAAGTTTTACTTTTACATAAAAATCAAAAAAGAATTTTTCAACTGGAATAGTAAGAAACAAAGTCAAAACTAACAAAAAAAAAAAAGAACCTACTCAATAAAGAAAGCGCCCTATTCAATAATAATTTTCTCGTTCCTTTGATAAAATAATGTTGAGACTACTTTCGAGGAAAAAAATTCATATTCGAAATTCATATTGATTTTTGGAACAAACCAAAGCTGTTTTTCATAGAAAATCGATTTTTCGAATACAAAATGTATTAACTCAATTAAATCTCAGAATTACTCCTTTATTCTATTCATTTGATTTACCATTATCTTGTTTTATTGGTGTACGAATAGGTGATTTTTTCATTACAGTTGTATCTACAGTCGACTGAAGGTCTGTATCATCATCATGATCATCATCAGAATCAGTTCCCGAAAAGCCTAGAATATAAAAATATGAATTTGAAATAAAATGAAGAAATTTATTCTTAATTACTTTGTATAAGACTTGAAAGTCCAGAAGCTTTTCGAATAACAGGTGTTGATGACTCAGCTAAAATAAATATTTTCATTTAATACAAAAGATAAAAAAAAAAAAATGAAGAATTTTATTTACCTTTACAATTCAAATAAACTTCTTTAGCAATTAATGCTAATTCTTCATTTGTTACTTCAAGTAACAATTCTGTCAATGTACGACGTAGTTTGATCATCTGATAAGAAAGAAAAAAACATCAATTATTAAATTAACAAAATTTGATCTTACGAATTGTTCTTCCTTATCTATTTGATCATCTTCGGTGAATGTCGTCGTCGTCGTTGTCGAATTCGTTGGCGATGATGGTGAATGTGCTCGTCTCGGAATTGCACTTACATTTAGCTGTTGTTCAGTCGATTTGTCATCATCCTTTGAAATGTTAGAAGAAAATGAGATGATAATAAACACATTGATCTTTTTTTATTTTTAAATGTCCAATCACAACAACCCACAAAGCGACTTCGTCGAGTGACAATTGGTGTCGAAGAAATCAATGTTGAACTTGGTTCTTCATCTTCATTTTCTTCATCATTATCGTCATCATCATTGAATCTTGTTGTTGATTCGTTGAATTTTTCATTGTTCGTCGTTTCATTTTCATCGTCATCTTCTTCTTCATCATCATCATCATCATCATCAAATTTCTTTTTTTTTGATATAAATTAGTTTGAAATTAACAAAACAATTTTTTTTTTTTTTGCAAAAAAAATAAAAGCTTACAGACGAAGAATCATTTAATGAATGATTATTATTATTACTTGTATTTTGCAGCTTTTTCTCTTTTTCTTTTTCTATTCTACCTAATTCATCTCGAAGCCAAGCGGGAATTTTTCGCCGCTTTGCATTTACATTACCACCCCTAGGTATATTGGCCATTGTTGTTGTTGTTGTTGTTGTTATTGATTCAACTACAATAATATTAATGTTCAGATTAATTTCAAGAAAATAGTGATTTTTTATAAAACTCGAAGAAAGGTTTCTAGAGTCGACAAATCCGAATTTTCGATCAGCTTTTCAAAACTCTTGAGTTCGATCAGCAAAAGTTTATTTCTTGCGACTTACTCACGTTTCATAACAATCAGCTATTTATTTGAAATAGGCTTCCATTGACCGAAAAAAATCGATTTAACATTTGGATTTGTCGATCCTGGAAATCTTTCGTCACGTTTTAAAGTGTCAGCAATACAACACATTGCAGTAAAATTTGATGCTGCACTAATCCCCTAGACCAGGTCATTAGAATATGATCTTCAAGGTCCTACAGCTGCATCACATGCATAAATACAAATAAACCTACATTCTTCGGTCGATAGAACATGAGATCATGTTTCCAAAAAGCGAAAAACAAGAGCTCATGTTTCCAAAAAGCGAAAAACAAGAGCTCATCGTCAAACAACTCAAGAAACAGTCATATATGACTACGACATCAGAATAATAGATGACTACACAATGATGCATTCAAGGATAATAAGACAAGGCAAACTCGTGTTATTATAGCCTTTCTAGATTGATAAGCAATCACAACATGAAAGAACCTGATGAAAGAATTATGACGATACAGCTTGAACATAAATTTTTCAACATCGTACTCATCACTGCCTACTCGCCAATTAATCCAAATGGGCAAAAGGTAGTCGCTGAGGTAGTAAATACTTTCTATGTCAAACTACAATTTACATGGAACAATCATCGAATGCACATCATTGTATCTTTAATGATGTAGAAAGATTATTTCTTTTTCCTTTTCTGCTCTTTTTATTCTAATTACTATATTTGATTTTCATCCCACATCGAAAAAGTAAGCGTATTTAAATAATAAATGATTACTTATTTTTACTAAGAATTCTATTTTTTAGTTGAAGAGATTTCATTCAAATACATACGAGGTAATATAGGTACAGGAGGAACTGGTGGTGGTGGAGGTACTGGATTTTGTCCATACGAAGAAGGAAGATCCATTAATGATGGTATAGATGTATTAAAATTTGTATTCATCATTCGTTTATCTACAGGTGGATGTTGAAATGATGGTGTAGGAAATTGAGATGGCATTGGTGATTGTTGAGGTGGTACGGGTGGAAGTGGTGGTGGAATTGGAGGAGGTACCGGAGGTGGTGGCGCTTGTTGACCAGTATTACTCGATGGCCAAAATTTATGACCACCAAAAGGTGAAGCCATTTCCTACAAAAAGAAAATTTAATTTTCAAAAATGAATTTTTGTTACTAACTGGTTGAATAGGAAATAATGGTTGATTATTATTCATATTAGGTCTCCATTGAGGTCCGCCTGGCATCATAATTGGAGGTGGTGGTGGTCTCCAAAGTGAATCTAAATATTAAATTAAATTTAAATAAATACCATAAAAAATTTCATACAAAAAAATTAAATAAATAATAATAATTTCATTCCATTAATATCTTTCGTCTTCATGTATTTTCTTTTCATATGTCTGAAAAGTCAAGTTGAAGACTTACTTTCAATATTTGTCATCGTTAAACTTTCCTGAGTGGTATTTGAACCAACCTGTAGCTGGTGATGGTGTGAACCAATGCCAAGTTGTGTTGGTGGTAACGGTGGAAATGTCATTCCAATAGGTGGTGGACCAGGAGGTGGAATAGGTGGAGCACTGAGTAGAAATTGGGGTGGTGGCGGTGGCGGCGGCGGTGGTGGTGGTAGAGGTGCTTGTTGCCATTGAGCTTGTTGTTCCCTCTGTTGCATCCAACTATCCGCCAAAGCACTCCAATCAACTAAAGAAAAAAATAAGAAAAAAATCCATAATTTAATATTTAATAAATAGATAAAACAAACCATTTGATGTTGATGTATGATGATTTAAAGGCCAATTTGTATTATACATACTATATTAAAGCTATTGTAAGAAAATTTCATATGTGACAATTTTGCTTTCTTTCTTCTTACACGATACAATTCAATTCGTCAAATGAAAATCAACATATTGATTAAACAACAGATGGCGCTTTATAAATTTCATTTGAAATAAAAAATAAATACAAATGAAGAAATTTTTTATTTATTTTTTTCTATTAATAAAAAAATATTCAAAAATTAAACAAAATAAAATCAAATCATTTTAAATGAGTCATCCTTCAATCATAACGAATTTACTTTTCTTTTTTTTTTCATTAACTATGTCGACATCAGTATTTGAAGACGGTGAATATTTAACTTGTCCATTTGATTCAGCACATCAAGTACTTTCGGGTAATTTTAAACATCATATTAATCGATGTTCACAAGTTAGTTAAATTATTCATATTATCGTAGATCGATGTTTTTCTGTTAATTTTTATAGAATCATCCAAATGTAAAAAAACTTCAATGTCTTTTTAATCATGAGCATAAAATAGTACCTAATAAATATTACGATCATTTATGTGAATGTCCAGATAATCCATCAAATTAAAAAAAAAAATAAAACGTTTTTGTATTCATGACATTTTAGTTTTTTTTTTCTTTTTTTTAGATTTTTTTTTGAAAATTATGCCACTCTATTGTGATCCTGATGATTATTGGTAGGAAAGAAATATTCCAATAAGAATATTAATTTTTTGTTTTAAGGCTTTGTCCATATGATCTTAATCATAAGGTATTAGCAAAACGTTTTCAATATCATATCATGCGATGTGCTAAAGTAAAGCAAAACAAAAAAAAAATAATAATAATAAAAATAAAGAATAATTTATAATGTTTTCAAGGCAAATCCACATATTCGTCGTGTTAAATGTTCGTTCAATGCAACACATTTAACAACACCAAGTGAATTATTTAAGCATATGTCAACTTGTCCAGATAATCAAACTGTTCATGATGCTATTGCTAGAGGCATGGGTGATTTTAGTAAGATTTCATTTATTATTTCACAATATAGATATGTATAATCATATTTTTTATTTTGTCTAGATTGGGAAGATCATTCATCTGATAGTAATGAACGACAAATGGCTGTTGTTATGAATGGTGAAGATTGGGATCGAGAAGCACATACAGGACATATATTTAATGATGATGAATTACGACAACTTAATGGGTAAATTATTTTAATTAATTTTTTTTTTAAAATTATCTTTGAATTTTATATAGACAAAATGAAATGTGGTCAAATTCGATAACACCGTAAGTGATTTTGAATGTTTTGATTAATTAGATAGTTGAGATTTCTAATAGAGCTGTACCAAGTGCAACGATTCCGTCTCGTCCTCAATCATCGTATTTGGATCGTGATGGTGCATTATCATCACGACCAGTTACAGAATCACCAAAACAAATATCACAAACAATAGCTTCATATGAACCAAAACGAACTAGTGCTTGTATGAAAATATTTTTGTTTCTGTTTTTTTTTAAGAATTATATTTTTTCATGATTAGATACTGTCGGTGGACCAATGAGTCAATCAAATAGTGTAGCAGATGCTAGCCTTGAGTAAGTTGTTTTTTTGTTTTTTGTTTACATATGAAATTTTCTTATTTGTTTCATTTGAAGTTCTCAATTTGAAAATATTCGTCGAAATATGTTAGCAACTGGAGTTGGTCGTGGTCGATTACCAACAACACAATATCCACCTCCATTTAGTAGTCGTTCAGTTTCATATGTATGAGTACTTTTTTTTTCTTACAATGAAATCATCTTCGAAATGCAGCATTGAAATTTCGAGATTTTTATATCGTGTATTTAAATTATACAACATTAATTTAAGGATATACTCGTCCTATTTTTGGTACAACCGATTCGCATGAGACTTTTATCACAGATAAAGCATCTAAAATAAGACGGAAAAAAGCTTTTATATAAGGTATTCGCAATTTTCTAATCAGCAAATATCTTATCGTAGAGAAAAAAATTCGGAAACTTCAGGATAGGCTCTACAGGACGAACTGTCTAGAAATTGTGAACAATGATTTGTACTATATGGACTTCTCATTTGGTGAGAAGAGTATCCCATCATGTCACTAACGAATGATTGTATCTCATATATTTATTTTATGAAATGTTTTTATTTTGTTTTAGAGATCATAAATGATGTCAAACTCTGATGATGATGATGCTCTCTTTCAATAATTTGTTGGATATAAAACATGTTTTCTTTTTGTATTATTTCTTTAGTTTAGTTATATATTGTGTATAATGTAAGATGTTTTTTTTTTTTTCTAAATAAAAACAAGAATATTTGAAGAACTAAATAAAAATAATAAAGAAAAAATGTTCAATACAAATGAACAAATAAAAAAAAAAACAAACAAACAAATATATTTGTAGATGTCTAATTTAA